TTTGATGTGTGTCGTGTGCATTTCAAGTTGTGAATTTGTTATGCAGAGCAGGCTTGTGTAGGGTCACTTAGTGTATGCGTTGTGGAGTAACGGTTTCGCAAGCATTATTAGTGATACGCATTATGCAGGTTAGTGTGGTAGGGTTAAGTTGAAGTTGTTGTTTGGCACCATTTTGGGATATTCTATGCAGCTGTTGAGGACGTGTTACTCATGACGTGTGCATTTTCCTTTGTGTGTGTAACAGGTTATGGCATATAGGGTCGCTTGATGCGTAGCTGCTGAGGTTTTGCTGATGGTTTAAATCTCGTTTTGGCAAGGTTTGTTGCAATGCTAGTTGGTGCGGATACAAGGTTTTGTTGATTGTTTTGGTAGCAGGTGAGGTGAGTTTATCATGGGCGTGATGCTGCTACGATTCTGTGTCGTACGCTGAAGTGAATTTGTGTTGTGGCTATGGTGTACGTATGCGTACGAAGAGGTTGGTGGAGGTTTGTTGTGAAGTCGCGGCGTGAGGTTTGGGAAAGTTTTACATGTTGGTTTTGTTGTGGAGTTTGATGCATGTATGAATCTTGTTGTGGTGTGTTGCGTAAATGGATGGTTGTGTGTAATGGCTTGTGATCTGACCTGATCAGAAGGGAATCAGTGACCTGCCATGCGTCGTTGATCTGTTAGCTACTCACCGAAGGTATGGAAGAGGATGGGGTGTACCTGAAACACACTCTGATGCCAAAGTAAGTGACGAGCAGAGTGGAAGCAAGTACAGAGAGAGAGTAAGGGAGTTAAGTTACTTGACCCTCTAGCGAAGAGGGTATTTATAGTGAGCCCCCAGCGCAGGGCCAACGGTTACCTAGCACTGGGCTGGGCTGCCAGGTCCAGCGTTAGTAACTGCTAGGGCTGACGTGGTGTCGTGAAGACCAGTACGTGGTTTTTGCCCTAGGGTAACTGTTCCTTACTATCCGGGAGGAGAAAGACCGAATCTCCAGGACATGGGTAGTTACTTTATGACGTGTCCCTACATGAGGAACACATGGAGGACGTGGGGGCAGCCCGAGGAGCTCCCCGGACAGACTGGACTTTGCCCGACCACGGGGGAGAAAGAGGTTGGCTGGTCGGTTGCGAGGGACCTGCCCGATAACTGTTGGCCCATGCCGACGGGGAGAGGTGGTGCTCGACGGGACTTCTGCCTCTCAGCGTGGTATTCTTAGGCCTAACCTCATTGGGGCTTGGGCCTGCTTGGTTGTGGGCTAAGCGTCGGTCCAGTCTAGAACAACTTGTAATTGGAAATTTGAAGTCGTGATGTTGGAGAGTGCTTGGCTGAAGTTTGGACTTAATAAAAAATTGATAATGGGCATTTATTTTGTAACTTTTTTTTTTGGATTATGTAACACTTTTGTAACTTTTTTTTGAATGATGGGCTTAGACAAAATGGTGATGGACTTATGGTTTCTTAAGCATTTTGAATTTGAAAACAATTTACAAATGAAATATGGATATTAGAAACGGAGATCAAAATGGGAATTGGATAATGAAGTTGGATAAGTGAAAAAAATGGACATTGGGAATCAAAATGAATATGTATAAAAATGTGAATGATTAGAAAGTGGGTATTTGGGAATAATTATGAATGAATAATGGCTAGCCTAAAAATGGATAATTGGATATAACGTGAATGGATATATGGAAATAATTATGAATGTATTATTGCTTTTGAGAAACTATGAATCGATCTTAGCCTCCAGAATTATGAATCACAAATCAACCCATGGTAAATTTCAATGTGAAAACCCCAGTTGAAGCACGAACCAGTTATTGATGATCCTCAATCAGTAAAGCACTTGAATTTACATAGCCTGATAACCTGATCCAAATACAGACGACTAGCATAAACCCTAATTGAAGCTTTATACACACCACTTTGAATCATACACACTCTGGCTTGATCATGAAACACTTCTTTGCTTAACCTCAATCCGTGCTGCATACGTCTCTGACTTAATAAACTTTGAATTCAATTTTGCACAACCCTGAACTTGGACAATAAGTAAGAGCGACATATTTTTAGATTTTTCTAAATGATGGTTAGTGGATGGAAATACAGATGAAGGTAATATACAAGTAGGACAAATTTGGAGTATGACACTTGGAACACACATTAAATAACACCATTGTTCTTTTAATACTCTGTTATCATTAAAACCCAAGAGATATATGTCATGAAGAAATCTTGTTCTAACAAAGGGTCCTAAAAATGAACTGACGATTGGTGGCGAAATACTAAAAGCTATACCATAAGCCATTAAGACGCTTCACACCCGTTCTCTCAATTAAGAAGAACTGGAAGAAATGAAAAGGAAGGATCCTTCAGGATACCTGGAAATTATGATGAGGAGTTTTTTTTCTTGTGACGCTAATATCCTTAAGTGGGAGAAAGAAATAGAGGAGATGCGGTCAGAGGTGAAAAGGGCTAAAGAGAGAAAAGTTGAACTCAAAAGTGTTATTCGAACGAAGTTGGATAAGGAAGATTTAGTTGGCCTCCAACATTTTGACAATGTTACCGCTTTGGATGTAGAATTGAAGGCATAACTTCCATTATTTCACTGACTGACCTTTGACTTGAGGCAGTAAAGGCTCAATTCGAGAGAGTTAAAGCCACTTTTCCATTTTGAAATTATATTCCTATTTTCTGTCTTTCAACTAACACAATTTGGTCTGTAATCTTAAGTACGCTTTTTTCTGGCACTTTTACATTTGACATAGCAATTTTGAATTAAAATGTAGCAAATGCGGTTTGTGTTGGGTTTTAGTGTGATCGCATTAAAATAATCTACATTAAATAAAGTTCAATAAACAAAACAGTCGCAAATCAAATTTTGCAGTTAAAAATACTCTGATGAAAAGGCTCAGACAGATCAAAATGTGAATGCGAAAAAAATAAGCACACCAAATTATACTACGTGAATCGTAGATCAACAAAACAGACAGTTGTAGACTCAAATTTAAAATTTTCCGCCCACTAATTTTATGCACAATTGAAAATTGATTCAACCAGTTTGTCTGTAAAATAAAAGTTTTATTCTGGTTGATTTTTTTAGGCATTATGCTTTAAAAAATGAGTGTCATGATATGCATATGATGCAAGTGTCCTAATGAATGAATGAATTTATTAATTTAGAGACAAAATAAGTGTATGATAGCTAGGTTAACAGTATTATCACTCATCTTGAATAAAAAATAGGAAATGCTTAAGGTAAAGGCTTGAATTGAAAAAAGTGCATGGTTATGAGAGATTGATGGAGTGAGGTGAATGAAGTAAGGCATAGACTTTGATAGAAAAGTTACAATAGTTGATGAATGCTTTCAAGAAGGAAGAATAGAAGACATTTATTAATAAAGTGAATATAAAGGGACTTGAATGCCAACGATTGTGAAAAAGTTTGCAACGCTCAACTCCCACCTATTTATAAACAAAGATGATTGAACCAGGACCCACCCAATCAATCCAGAGACCCCTATCTAATTTAATAAATGAGTCTAAATTAAAAATATATATACAATTGTAATAATTAAAAATGACGCTTTAAAAATATAATTATATACTAATAAAAAATAAATTTAATTATAATCGATTTTACTTTTAGTTAATCTCATTTTTTTTATGTATTGGAATTTTATCTTAACATTTTTTATATATTGGTTTTTTATTATAACATTTTTTAAATTTTTTTTAATGAAAAAATTTATTAATGAAGAAAAAAGTCGGGCCACTCAATATTTGGGGCCTGTGATGTAGAGTTTATTGCTCTTGCATAGGGTGACCCTTAATTAAACCATCCGAATTTGCGATGGAAATAAATTTGAAATCAACGGATAAATTTCTCTTTGAAAATACACGCAAACTCGAATGCACTGGAAGACGCATCATCCCCTAATTTGTTGCGTCAGCAGACGTGTTAAAAGAAAGCGATTAAATGTTTAAATGATGGAAATCCATTTAATGCACTTATTATCCATTACTTTTTCAACTGGCTCCAAGCGTCTCAGTTTTAGCTAACATCAAACAACTTTCTTGAAGGCCAACAAAATCACTAAAGGCTTTCGCAACTCTCTCAGTGCCCGACAAAGCCTTGGGGGCAACTGTTCTGTGTCGGCCAAAGACCCAAATAACTAAGACCGAATTTACCTCAAATTTACTCCATTTGACCCAAGGTATAAAATCAGTTCACACGGAAAGCAATGCAATGTATATTCTCTGATCTCCACTTTTAACTTCAATCATCTTAAATCTTGAATTGACTTGAGCGTTTGAGTGTTAACCATCCATGTCCACTCCATACCGAACTAGAGATCAACATCACTGATTCAAGATCTTCTACTTTTCAAGTGTATCTAATTCTAGTTTTAAAATATAATATATTACCGAACCGGAGATCAACATCACCGATTTAAGATCTTCTACTTTTCAATTGTATCTAATTCTAGTTTTAAAATAGAATATATTACCGTATCGAAGATCAACATCATTGATTCAAAATCTTCTATTTTTCAACTGCATCTAATTCTAATTTTAAAATGGAATATATATATATATATATATATATATATATATATATATATATATATATATATATATATATATATATATATATATATATATATATATATATATATATATATATATATATATATATATATATATATATATATATATATATATATATATATATATATATATATATATATATATATATATATATATATATATATATATATATATATATATATATATATATATATATATATATATATATATATATCATTTTAACGAAAATGTACGGCCTAAGTTTCTTCAACAAGACATTACATGTGCTCTTATATTTGATTATTTACTTCACCCTAGCTAACTTTAACAAAAATAAAAGAACTTATAAATTATCCAAAAGACTTTGTTTGTGAAGTAATTAAACATAAACTCTAGCAATAAATCATTTTTGGTATATAGTGAGTCATGGGTTTTCATTGTGAATAGGTGGTTTCCGATGTGGTTGTGCATAATCCATCTCAACTATGTCTTCTTCATTCTCATTGGTGTTTGTAACCATTGTTTCTTCAACATGGTGTCTAGCTGGTCCCAGCATTGACCTTGCATGTCTCCTCTCATCCTGCACAAACAAGCATACGTCTCATCGTTTTCAATCACTCAAATAACATTTCTCAAGCAACAAACACAGATAGAGAAAAGGTACTACAAAGTCAATAATATAGGCGTTCAAATACAGCACAAGAGGTGCATAATAAGTCCCAAAAATAAAGACTAAGCACCAGAAAAATACATAAAGCGTATGGAGTAAAACCAAAGCTTACCTACCTGTATTTATTAAAAGAATTTCCTTTAAAAGGAGCAAAATAAAAAGACATAAATGTATTGTCCTCTTGGTATTAATCCTCAGGTTCCTGGGGCAGAGATGTTGGTAATTTAGAGTTTGACAAATCGTAGGGTTGCCACATTGAATTTTCAGCCCTACCTTTTAAGTTGGTCTGTCGCACTAGAGTCTTTTTAGTTTGAATCATTAAAAATTATCTATTAATATAAATTTTGTGATACTGTTTTAAAAACTAAATAAAAATAGCAATAATATTTTTTTTTATTAAATTGTTTGAATTTTTTTTAGATAGTTTATAAAAACAATTATTCGTATATATAAAAATAATTTAAGTTTATTTTACTTTTAACTATTAAAATTGTTTATACAAATTTATTTATTTATTATATGGTAATTTTGAAAATTATTTGTGTCAAATTTTAATATTGGTAAATAATATTATATCAATTCTTCTATAAAAAAAACATTTCTGTCTTATATTACCTTTGCTACGAGAAGAAGAGATGAAGAACCCGTATGGAAAGATGACCCTGCAATAAAATATGGTGATTATTTACTATTATAATTAGATAATTTATACACATGCAGCTGCAAAATTCATAGCAAAAAGTTAGTAAAATTACATACAACTAAGTGCACCATATATTATGAGCCTCACATGCATATTAATAAACGTGATATTTTATTGGCAAGAGACAAATACTTATGGGTGCACATTAATCTCAATTATTTAATACTTATTCACTATGTAATACACACAAAAATCAACAAAAGGGTGTAAGAAAATTAAGCACCTACGATCACTATCTTCAAAGTTGATGCACTGCTACAACCCACACAAATATTTATTTCATTATTTAAGATTTTTTGTTGCTGTACTGGATTTTCTTCTAGCTTGTCGAAATGAGGTTTTGTTGAGTCTTTTTTAGTAATAGGACGAGGGGAGCATGCATGCAAAGAACCAGAGAGGATGAGGAGGAGAAGAAGAGGAATAGAAGCCATGTTGAGATAAAGGTTTTTATGAGGTTTTTCTAGGGTAAGGTTGGTTTTAGTTATATGTAATGGTGGAATAGAAGGTGCATTGTTTTGGAAAAACAGAGAAGAGAATAGAAGATGCATTAAATGTAGGTTTTGTATGGGATAGAGGGTGCTCTTTAATAGAACATGCAGGTGTTTCGGATTTGAAACTTAGAAATAAAACTGAGGATATCTAGGGTCCACATTTGTCCCCGCAACCCCATTTGAAGATTATTTTTAAGGAATTGGCTTACGTAATTAAATTTATGATAAGTTTTTTTTTTCTTCTCCAGGACCATATCCCCTATAAATAATTTTAGTGTTATTTTTCAGGGTTCAATATTCTAATTTGCCCCCTCATTAAATTAGATATTGACTTATGATATCTAGACATTAATATTACATTTCATGATATTTATTTTCTTAGCCACAAACTTATTATTAATTAGATCACTAGAGCTTTGGTTAATTACATAATGACCCTAACACATGTAGAATTACAATTGTGACTCAAAATATTCTAACAATCTTCCACTGATCACATATGTAATCATACATATGTGTTAGACTTTATGAGCTTAAAATTTGCCATTATATTCCTTAAACACATTTATCTCGTCCATTAGACATGTCAATATACAGAATCAAACTGATTTTCGTTATATCAATCATAACTAAATCCTTTAATGATCACTGATAGTGACACAACTAAATGACATAGATCCATCATGAAATTTGTAGCATGAAAATCACATGAAGTTGGTCTGTATATCTCAATTTTGAACTGGTCATACTTTACTTTAGTGAGATCATTCAATAACTTTATTGTACAAAATGTAAATTACTGAATATCAAACTTTATTAATTGAAAAATATCAAAAATCATAGTAATGCATACATAATATCAAACACAGAACATAAAATTCATAATCGACTAACTCCCACTAAACCAAAGACTCCTCTAACGGTAAAACACACATGCGAGCAGTGTGCTCATGAAAGACCTTGGATGGAAGACCTTTTGTAAAAGGATCCGCTATCATGGAGTTTTTCTCTAAGTGTTCTATGGAAATTATTCCATTTTGTACCATTTCCTTAACAACTAGGAACTTGATGTCAATATGTTTTGACTTGGTCGAGCTCTTATTATTGTTGGAATACAGGACGACTGATTTGTTGTCACAATATAACTTAATTGGTATTTCAATTCCTTTCATAATTCGCAGCCCGATGACAAGATTCCTTAGCAAAATCCGATAGTTGGATGCCTCATAACATGCTATAAACTCTACTACCATGGTGGATGAAGTCGTAAGAGTTTGCTTGACACTTTGCCAAAAAACTGCACCACTAGCCAACATGTAGATATAGCCTGAAGTGGACATTTTACTGTCTTGGCGTCCAGCAAAATCTGAGTCAGAGTGTCCATTGATCTCTAACTGGTCTGACCTCATATATGTGAGTATATAGTCTTTTGTTCTCTTTAAATACTTCATAACCTTTTTGCCTGCTTTCCAATAATTCATTCCTAGATTGCTCAAATATCTGCCTAACATCCCAACTATGAACGCAAGCGTACACACCTAGGCATACATCATACTCTTTACAGCTGATGCGTAAGGAATCTTTTGTATTTCTTGAATTTCTAAGTTTCTTTTTAGGCACTGACTCACACTGAATTTGACTCCCTTAGTAATTGAAGTATCCCCTGATTTACATTCCTGCATGCCAAACTTCTTAAGTACCTTTTCGATATAGCTCCTTTGTGATAATCCTAGAATACCTTGAGATCGGTCTCGATGTATTTGAATTCCTAATACAAATAAGGCATCACCAAGATCATTCATTATTTAATTTTCTTGGTAGAAATTTATTGGTTTCATACATCATGCTTATATCATTAGCAGCAAGCAATATATCATCAACATATAGGACCAGGAAAATCTAATTGCTCCCACTGGATTTGTGATACACACAATCTTTAACAAGATTAACCTTAAAATCAAATGAGAGAATTACTTCATGAAACTTGTGCTACCACTGACGAGATGCATGTTTTAGTCCATAAATGGATTTTGTTAACTTGGAAACCATATTCTTTGAGTTTCTTGATACAAAGTTTTTTGGTTGCACCATATAAATTATTTCATCAACGTTGTCATTGAGGAAAGTTGTCTTGACATCCATTTTATGGAGTTCCGAATCATAATGTGCAACAAGAGCCATGATTGTCCTAAAAGAGTCTTTCGATGAAATTGGAGAGAAAGTCTCTTTAAAGTCAATCTCTTCCTTTTGAGTATAACCCTTAGCCACAAGACGAGCTTTCTACCTCTCCACATTACCGTTAAAATCTTGTTTGGTCTTAAAAATCCATTTGCAACCAATGGGTTTCACTCCTTTTGGAAATGGGACAAGTTCCTAAACTTTATTTTCTTGCATTGACTTATACTCCTCTTTCATTGCTTCAATCGACTTTTCCGAGTTGGAATCTTGCATGGCTTGATGCAAGTTGATTGGATTATTTTCCATCATACCATTATTTTCCTCAGGTTCTTGGAGAAAGACTATGTAATCATCAGAAATAACATTTATCCTTTCTCTAGTGGATTCCCGCAAAGGTATTGGTTCTTATAATGCTTGTTCTTGAGGATCTTGAGTTTGTTATTCATAAATTACCAAATCATCTTGAGTTGGAGGAATTGAAAAGACTATCGTTGATGATAGATGAGATGCAAGACATATTTGATATGACATTCAAACATGAACCAAAATAAGAATATATACTTCATAAGAGTTGTATTTTGGAAGTGTTGAAGGGAGATGATTGGTTGGACATAACTGTATTACAATTTTGGTGCTCGTAAGTACAATTTTTATGATGATTTCAATTTATGTTCATTGTTCCATACTTTAACATAAAAATTTGACTTTTGCATTAATTTTAAGGTACATGCATGGGATATGTGTTGAAAAGGAATTGATCGAGTATTGTTTCTTAGACCCTTTTGAAATTCAATTTCAACAATGAAGAGCAAATGCAATTATGATGTACATACAAAATAAATTGATTAATGACAACAAAGAATGTTACATGGAACCGTTTTACCATGCGTAAGTATATATTAATCTGTGTTTTCTTTTATAAATCAAATTTATACACATTATTAATTATTTTGAATGTTTATGCAGTTCACATTGACAACTAGTTACTAAATGTCTGAAGCAAAATATTCTAATCATGTTATGCTTGTTACATTATAATCTTGATTCAACGGTGCTTGAATTTTTTAGCGTGTAAGTGGTATTATTTGTAATTCTCAAATTTTAACTTTAGTTTTGAACAATTTTTATTCATGTTTAATTTTTACTAACATGTAGAATTAATGGGGGATATAATTTTGTGCAACGTAGAGCAAGAGGTAAAAAGCCAAGGTCCCGTTTCCCATATGTAAGCATTACTTGTGTTTTTTATATTATTTTATTTTCTCAAACTCATTACTTGTGATTGGTGCATACCAATTAGTAAATATATGAAAATTATTTGTAGTCGCGAAAACAACCCGGTAACTTTTTGTGTAGATACTATGTTATGAGACATATATCTTCGGGGGAATTATTCATGGGTTAAGATATTAACTTTATCCATATACATATAATTTATTTATATTTTTTAAGTTAATGTTGTTTGTTAACTTATCATAATCTAAATTTTGTTCAAATTATAGGTGTTTACCGGCTAAACTCATTCCTACAAGAAGATATATATGATAACAAATCACATTGGGATGGTGTCTCAACAACACTAGTCTTTCTTGGTTATTGTATGTATTGTATAGAGATTGTCTTTATAGGTTCAAATATGTATAGGTTCAAATATTTACAGGTTCTCTTGCTAGAGGTTTTCTGTATTCAAATGTCATTATAGGTTTGTAAGCATTATATGGTTTTGTTTTCAAATATGTATATGTTTTCTTGGTGTACCATTTTGGATATGTGTGCATTTTGTTTAGTAAACAATGTAATTTGGTATTCTTTGTATATTTAGCTATGTTCTATAAAACATAAAATGTTCTGATTATGTCACAAAATTTGTATTTTTTGTATAAAAAATATAGGCTAGTCAAATGGAGATTTAAAACAAATTATAAATGACAAAAAAATAGGTTATACTCCTCGGTTAATATATATGTGTGTATATATATATATATATATATATATATATATATATATATATATATATATATATATATATATATATATATATATATATATATATATATATATATATATATATATATATATATATATATATATATATATATATATATATATATATATATATATATATATATATATATAACTAGCATAAATACTTTCATTTTTCCTCATATATTTACAAAAATCTAGAGGTATGAGCACGTGCTTTATAGTTTTGAAAATTAAAAAAATATATTATTGTTGGGGATCGAACTAATTAATTTTACAAATTTTCCCTCGGTGGAACAAAAACTCACAGGTAAAGGTGCATGTTTTCAAGACAGCATTCATTACCTCTCATGTCAAACCTAGGTAAAATCTCTTTCTCCATCAAGGTAAAATGTGTTTTTTTTGTAGTAGTGCGAAGATTTAAGGGTGTGAAATTGAAGTTGGATTTAAAATCTTGTGTGGTGGATGGAAACTTTGATGATTTGAAGGGTTTTTTAGTAAAAAAATTGGAATCCAATGGTTGAGATAATGTTGTTAGGATAAGGGACATATTGGCAGGTTTTGGGAAGGGAAATGGGGAAGGACATACTTGGGGTGCATGAAGTAAGATAGGGAAGTGTGTAGCGATGCGGGTGATGAGACGTGGTAGGTGAGAAATGACATATTTGTGTGTAATGTATATGTTGGAACATGATTGAGTTGTCTGTTGGGAAGACCAATTGTGTGGCTTTTTGGATAAGAGGGTTTGAATTTGGCTATGGGAAACAGCTAAGGGGTTA